AGAGAACATATGATCAAGGCTATCAAAAGTACATTGGGCACATGGTCACAACCCTATATTTGTACTGGCATTGTCATTCAAAGTTACAGAGGAATAGACTGTCAGCCCTATTTGACACACAATATCACAACAGGACAATGAATGAATTAATTCAAGGGATGATGTGGTCAACACCAGACTGGTCACCTTCACTTTTTTTTTTCCAGGACAGCTGGGTGTGTTGGGTAATGAGCAGGCTGATAGTCTGGCTGCTGCTGCTCTCATAAGATATCCTGATTTGACCCTAAATTCCCGGTTCATGTCTAAAAATTCACTTCGGTGGGGATTTAATTTTTACACCAGGTAGATGGTTCAGCAAATCAAAGCTGACCTTATATACCATGGGCTATTCAACCTGGTGGCCCACGGGCTGAATCCAGCCCGCAGAGGCCTAGCAAGTCGCCTGCAGATCACTGCCAGCTGTACTGTATTAATTATCTTTCTATGCGGGTGTTAACGCCTCTGATGATTCCTATTTTTAACATTTTTGGTCCCTGAGTAAACTTAGCTGAACAACCCTGTTACACACAAAAGTGAATAATTTATGAACACAGTCAAGCAGGAAGAAACCTCCCATTAACCCTGTCAGTCCCAGAAGCTAGACTCTCAAGGAAAAAAAAAACTGTAATGAAAAATGACACTAGCATTATTTTCAAAGAGGTTAAAAAAAAAAACCAGCTCCTGTGGCATTGGAGAAGCCACATTTTAAATTTCACTCAGTATCAAGCCTTCTACTTGCCAGCCATCCTGTGTTCAAATCCCCCAGGCAAATAATTCATTTTATTAATAGCCTGGTCTCCCAAGTCAACTCAACCTAAAATGAGCATTAGGAAATATTTTGGCGAGTACCATGTCTATACTCTCTTCATGTCGCTGTTGACACTGCTGCTGGCTTGCAGCCATTTTTTTGTCCTTGGTATCCTACATCAGGGTACATTGCTACACTTCTCTTTATACTGTCCTTCTTCAGGTTTCCTTATGTTATCTACATCTCCTTTTCCCATCTGCTGTCGGTTTGCCAATGATGAACATTTTGTAATCCTCCTCAGTTCTTCATCTGTCATCTTGTTTGGCTAAAATATTAGTAGGATTCTCACAAGACATTTATTTTCAAGTCTCTAGTTTACGGGAACTACCATGGTGTTGCGGCCAGGTGGTCACCTGTGGATCCTAAGGTAACAGGTTAAAATGTGCATTGGATCAGATTTTTCAAATATTACCTTGGCTCCCAGGTTGATCCAGCCTTAAATGGGTACCAGGGAAAGTCCTAAGAAGTGAAGGCGGTCAGCGTAATGTTGACCTCATCATCCATTGAGAAGTGATTGTTCTCTAAAAATACTAGTCTAGCCTCATATGCCTAATGTGCCAATGGCATATAAACGGAAATAGACCTACTGCCTCCTAACATGCATACTGTAAAAGGTGACCAATTAGGGCAGTGGTTCTCAACCTTTCTAATGTGGCGACCCTTTAATACAGTTTCTCATGTTGTGGCAACCTCCAATTATACAATTATTTTCATTGCTACTTCATAATTTCAGTGAATGTGTGCTTGCTGATGGTCTCAGACGACCCCTGTGAAAGGGTCATTCAAACCACACAAAAAAAGGGTCGCAGCCATAGGTTGAGAACCTTTGAATTAGGGGTTTTATAAAACTCGATGTGCTGAGGCAAAACAAGGAGCATAAATTCCAGCCTTATTAAAGAATACATGTGCCAACCACACTTTGTAAAGACAAAAGAAGAAGCTGATTCTCGGGAAAGAGAAAGATCATACACTCCGTGCTGTTTTAGATTAAAAGAATGAAGTCACTCTCACCCTCATCAGGGTGGTAACAATCTCGCCTGAGATCCTGGTGAACATGTGTTTTAATCCCCCATGCGAACAGAGAATTTTATTTTTGACCTGGTCTCCAAGGTCAACTCAGCCTAAAAAGAGTACTAGAAAATGTTATGGCGAGTAAATGTGGCCAGAATAATATTTACCACGTCACTTATTCTGCATACAATGGCAAAGGTTAGGACACCTTGGCGAGATGTGGCTGATGGCTCATGCTCTAATGAGGGATCAAGGGCAAAAAAAATAGGTACAGGGTACTCCTGTCAAATCCGGACGAAGACTAAAAAGCCTTGGACGACTTAGTCAGAGTTCTCTCCCTTTGCCGCACTGCGAACAGTGATCGGAAAAGCCAACGAAACAAAGAAGACAGTCACGTCGACATCAGGGCTGCCAATGCTTGGTTGTTTCCCCCCAGATCTGGTTTTTTTTTCGACGCTGCAGGACAATTCTAGGTTTTTTTTTTGGGTGTGTTGTGTTTGTTGGTTTTTGCCGATTTGTATGCGTTAATGATCGATAAATTTGCGTGGTTAGGGGTAGGGGTTAGGGCTAGGGAGTAGGATTAGGATTAGGGTTAATGTTGGGTTAGCTGTAGCGTTAGATTTGACAATTTTGACGCCGGAGTTCCCTATAATCGCGCACAGTCCCATACACACACAAACAATCGAGGGCCTCTGGATGCTGGTGAAACGCACAATTCGCCAACGATTGGGCACCAGCCGCACACTATTGGCGTCATATTTAGCAGAATTCCAGTGGCGCCACGCCCACAAACATCAGATTGTCGGCCACTATTTCCAAACCCTACGTCAAAATTTTAACATCTAACCCTAACCCTAACCCTACCCCTAACCCTAACCCTACCCCTAACCCTACCCCTAACCCTACCCCTAACCCTAACCCTACCCCTAACCCTACCCTTAACTGTAACCCAACAACCGATGATTACACAACCATTCACAATGCCTCACGAAACCGTACGCAGCCCTACACGCAACCGCAGGATGATAGGTAAGTGTGTCGTTTATTTCGTTTGTTTTCCGATTACTGTTCGGAGTGCGGCCAAGGGAGAGAACTCTGACTAACTCGTCCACGGCTGTTTATTCTTCATCCGGATTTGACAGGAGAGCCAAAAAATAAGACATCACCCAATGAATGCCCACTAACAATGTAAGCATCTTCTTACAGTCCATGTCGTGTTGCGTTGTTAGTCATGTCTATCCACAGCCTTTTGTTCTTTCAATCAATTCAGACACCAATGATCTTCCATACCACGATGTCAGACTGTCTTTTCTCATGTCTTCCTCCGACTCCACCTCCCCTCCCCCCAATCTTCCCACTGCTATGATGTACCTCAGTTTTCTCTTTCTCTTGACATGACGGAAGAATGTAGACTGTCTCCTTTCTATATGGGGATAGCACCATTTGATCAAAAAATTTCATGGTGCTAAAAAGATTATTTTAAATGTAAAAAAATCCCCCCCCCCCCCTTTAACTCCATACACACTTCAATGAGATAACTGAATGAGAAGGGGAAGAAGATGCAGGGAAAAAAAGCAGAAGAATTTTTTTTTTTATATACGGACTGTTAACTCTTTCAGTACCATGCACATCACAATATTTTCAATGGTTGGTCTAATAACAGTACATATTTGTTCCTCTCTCCTTTCACAAATAGTTATTCCATCAACTCTCTGAGAACTTAACAGTTTGGCAGGAGATGCACACATGAACATCTAACCAGTAGGGTGAACCATGAGGATATTACTTTTAATAAAGCTGAATACTCCCTCTGGGAGCCTGATTTTCTAAGTAAGCACTGGTCAAATGTAAATAACATAACATATTACAGCTTGGGTGGGACTTACACTGTATCTGAACAGTACTTTCTTTTTTCTGCCCCAATGATGTCACTATTTTGACTTCTTTGGAATAAAACGCTAGCTACTTTAAGCCTGAAGCTCTCAGAATATAAGGAGTTAAAATAATTGGAAAAAGTTAAAAGGGTGACCTTAGGGGACTGAATCTACTGTCTGCTTACAGTGACTATAAGAGACACAATCTGTTTACATTCACATAATAATGTTCTCTAATATTTAATATTGCTTCAGGTTAGGGTGAGAGTTAGGGCGTACCCCAAGCCTAACCCAAACCAGAAACTCAAACAATATGAAATATCAAAGAATATTATTATGTGAACTTACACAAACAGATTACATCCCCTAACATCCCCATCTAAAGTATTAGTAACTTGCAATAGATTGTGTTCTCTATAGGCTTCCATTTTCAGTGTTGCCAAGTAATCACCAGCTGGTACCAAAAGACATTCAAACACAGCACATGCAAACAGTGATTAGTACCTTTCTGCCTTTTCAACACAACAGTAAAAAGTATTCGCATATTTGCAAAGAAATTGGAAATATATTTGGTAAATATGCTGTCTTCTGTGGAAAGCTGATTTACATAAAACAATAAAAATTGCTTTTATTTTCATATAATTTGCATATTCTGCTTAATTTAATCTAAATTGTTCACTTTTGCATAATAATAATAATCTGTCGTCTCCATGTTCACTATCATTAATAAATTCTTACTCTAATAATAATATCAATTCCTGGAAGTGAAATATTTGAATTAATTATCAACAAATAAAAATAAAACTATTTCATTAGCCTTAGCATTGCAATCTAAAAAAAAATGCCTGTTTATTTAAAGAACTGAGTCGGTTTTCTTTCAAGCAACCGCTCTAGTTCAATGCTGTATTTCCTTTTAACAGAAGGCAACATTTCCCTACTTCTTAGAAATGTTCTATATCCCAACAAAATGAGATCTCTCCAGACTTCACACACAGCGACAGAACAATGAACAATGGAACAATAATAATATATTATATTATTTTAAACTAATATTTTATCGAATGCATTTTCTACTGCACTCATTCCTTCGTTACATTTACCTTCAATGCATTTACTAACCAGAACTAACGGCATTGATAATAACATGACTTAAGTCGGTGCTGAGGGATACAAAATGTTATTGGTTGCAAATGACTCACTGGAGCAAATATTGGATTTTCGTCGTTAAGTTCGGTCTTCCGGACTGCACATTAAGCTAAGTATTTTACCTTCTGATAACTCCAGATCCAGCTCGGCCAGGCGTTCTCGTACATCGTCTGGAAGTCTGGATACATCAATATCAATGTCTGCCATGGTAAACAAAGTAATCCAGCACGTATTGTATATGATAATGATGCTACATTTCGCTTCCGTCGACCAAGAAGATCGCCATCTTGGTCTACTTTTTACCACACCTAAGTATCGCGAGAGCCGGCGAGAAGGAGGCTATGGATCGGCGAGGAAATGGGGAGAGAAAAGTATACCCCCTTGTCCAATAATAGCAATATAACTGACACGAATGATTGAAAGAAAGGAGTATTTCTCTTCTTCTGCCTTCTATCCCCCAGTGGAGCATGGACCCTCAACCAGCTCACGACATGTCGTTCTAGCCTTCGATAATGCATGCAGCTCATTCCATGTTCTCCCCATCATTTTAACCCCCTCTTGCTAAATTCGTGTCTTTTCTTTCTTTATTTCTATGTCCCAGCGGGTTCCAGCGCAAAGGCATTCCATTTATATTATTCGCATGTTTTCTCAACGTGTATCCTATCCAACGCCAGCGTCTTTGCTTCACTTCTTGGCCAAATGGAAATTGTTTAGTTCTTTCCCCAAAGTTCTACATTAGTGATTCTATCATAAAAGTTAATTCTCTCTATTCTGCGCAAGCACCAGTTATTGGATGCCTGTAGTTTAATAGTAACTGCCTTTGTTGTCCTCTATGCTTACACTCCATACAACAGTACTGAACTGACATTGGGATTAAAAACAAACTTAGTTTTATATTAGTGTTATACAATGCATAAAAAAAGAAACATGTTAAATACACAAAATGGCAACAATGGTTCTGAAATCCCATGCTCTAACTATACATATCAAAGACTTTTTCTTATCGTGAGCGGGTCTTGCTAGTCATACTCGCCATCGCCAGGCGTTGTGGGCACCAGGTAAGTAAATGTTCCCATCCAGGATTGCTGTTTATAGGATCAGATATCAGAAACCTGGCTGAACCTCATAACACAGTTATATTAAGCCAACATCAGTTAACACCAACACTAGTTGTTAGTCTGAGTTCTGAGGTTGGGGAAAGAACGAATGCAATGAAATACCTAGGGATACATTTTGATCGAAGCCTTGCTTATTCTGAGCACATAGATAGGTTTTTAATGAAAGCCAAGTGGGGTCTGGCTGCGATGAGAGTGATGGCGGCGGCAAACTGTGAGCAGCGTCATCTGTGTCTTCTATACCAGGGTCTGGTCCTTTCTGTTTTTGAATACGCGATGGCGATCCTGACTCTCAGCCATAAGCAGATCGAAAAGATGTAAAGGATACAAAACGAGGCTATGCGCATTATACTTGGGTGTACAAGAGATACAGCATGCAGGGCTATGAGCTACCTTCTTGATTTTCCGACCATGGAAGACAATACAAATTTCCCGAGCTCGTGCCTACCTCACAGTCAAGGCGGACACACAACAACCATTACATGGTCAAATCAAGAAGATAAAATGCAGCAGGTTAAAAAGAAGCAAATCGTGGATGGGTCAAGCCGAGGACATTATGTTACATGTATGTCCACTTGAGGACATAGAACCTGGCGAGGAGTGGGTGCAAGTGCCTTCAGAGTGCTGTACATATTTTTCTGTTTGCATCCAACTAGACAGAAAATGCAGACAACAGAGTCCGGCTGCTGTGGAAGCAGAAGTTCAAGCCTTGATTTTCGAGAACGGTAGAGGGTGATGCTGTCATTTCCACAGATAATTCTGTAATTCGCTACGTTAAAAGCTCGTGGGCTTTCACGGCTAAGTTTGGAGGGAGAGTTGTGAAGGAAGATTCTGGAGCTTTTGCCGTAACTACAAGTAGTCTGACCATGGAGGTCATGGCTGTGACTAAAGCAGTAACATGGCTAGAGACACATACTTTCACTGGAGTGTGTTTTCTCAGTGACTCGATGAGTATGCTCAGGAAGATAGAGAAAGGCTGGGTCCGAAGGTAGTGGTTGGTGGCTCTACAGAATTCACGACTGACAAGGATTAGTTTCATTTTCGTGCCAGGACATGTGGGGGTACAAGGAAATGAGCAAGCTGATACGCTTGCAGGTAAGGCTACTGTGAAAGCTAGACAAGCCATGGACCAGGCTGATATACTGAATGTTCTAAGAGAGTTAAGACGTTTACGTGAACCAACTGAGAACTGTGAATCTGCAACCATGGTCAGACTGCAAGAACAAAATGTTAAACGGGGTGTCGCCAAACAAGAACACTACTCAGGTAGCCAAAGAAGAAGAATAAACCACGGCCTTCTCTATTTATATATTAGAGAAGGCAGTGAATAAACCAATACAGAAGTAGTGTCCTTAGCCGCTACACGCTGCGGGATTTACTGAGGAGGGGATCCGAGCACTTATGTCATGAGTAGTTCGACGTGCAATGAGGATAATCTGTCAACTAACTAACTATTAAGCCGTCCGTACGTTTACAAAGTAATTTATAGTCAAATGAAGGCATGGGATTGAAGACGAACCCGCTGGTTGGTTAGTTAGTTAGTTAATTGGCTAGTTAGTTAATTGGCTAGTTAGTTAGTTAGTTAGTTAGTTAGCTAGCTAGCTAGCTAGCTAGCTAGCTAGTTAGTTAGTTAGTTAGTTAGTTAGTTAGTTAGTTAGTTAGTTAGTTAGTTAGTTAGTTAGTTAGTTAGTTAGTTAGTTAGTTAGTTAGTTAGTTAGTTAGTTAGTTAGTTAGTTAGTTAGTTAGTTAGTTAGTTAGTTAGTTAGTTAGTTAGTTAGTTAGTTAGTTAGTTAGTTAGTTAGTTAGTTAGTTAGTTAGTTAGTTAGTTAGTTAGTTAGTTAGGGTAGTAAGACCGGGTTTTTCGGCTTTGTGGGGCTTTTAACTACCCCTAAACATCTAGAACTGGACCTAACCCTAACCCACCTACGTTCCAAGAAGAGAGTGCAGCCTAGGTCCTACGACTACATGCAGCCTATCTACCACGCCCTGAAATATTGGACTGTCTGTTTTGGGTAAATAAAAAAGAAAGCACCCAAAAGCAATTTTCGGTTTTATATTTACCCCCCCCCCCCCCCCCTCCCCCAACCCCTTTTATGAAATTTCTAATTTTGTTATTATTTTGGGTATATTATCTCAGGTTTTTTTTTAAACGACCATATATTTTCATTATGCATATATTTCCATTATCAATATATTTCTATTATTCATATATTTCCATTATCCATATATTTCCATTATCCATATATTTAAAAGGCTTACACGTTTTAAAGGTTTCGGAGATTAATGGTGTGATTGATTTGATTCAAGAACCTATATCACAGCACTTAAAGCATTATCATAAGCGCTCGTCCCCATCTTCAGCAGCTAACCTAGAGTTCCAATAGTAATGGTGCCAGTAGCAGTCTGGTCACATGTCCGTCTCACCTTTCCTCTGAGCGTCGAGTATCGGCCAGATCCCCTCGTCACTCCTCGCTGCTTCACTCTCGTGAGACTGTAATGATCAATTTACTGTTCCAAAATGCACCCGTGGTCAAAGAAGGTTTTAACCACGTCTGCTTGATTATGTATCAATATTTTACCAAGTGGGAAACAAGTGTAATTTTAAAGGACAGGGATCTCAGGGCTTTATTTTTATATATCTCAGGCTTCGTCAAGTCTAAATCTGGCCCTGGTGACAATGATGTAAAGATTGGATTCAGATGATTTACGGATGAAACCTCTTATGGGTCATCGTTGTCTGTGACCACATTTTGTGGACAGCTTTGAGCTCGACAATGCAAAAAAGCCACCCCTTTTTCCCACTTTTCACTTTGATCGATCCCCAGACGATTTGTTTCGCCTTGCCATTGCACTTAGATGGATTAAGACAACGAAACGTGCAACTCTTCCTCACTAACATTCAAGTCATTGTGCAAGTCAGCGATTGTATCACTCGAGACATAACGAATAGCTGGCCTACCTTCAAGCTTTGTGCTGGGTCGTGTAGGTGTTTAGGGCAACGAGCGTGCAGATTATCTGGTGGGCACTGCAGATGCTATAACTGGTTCTTTACTGTACATTAAAGCGCAGCACTTGCCGCGTTAACAAAGACGACAAAAGGCATGACTCCATATCCCTTTCTAGGCTAATCTTCTTCTTCTTCGCGTTCACCAGCTGTACACTCTGGCGGAAAGTTCTGGTTGATCGTCCACTACTGAACTGCAGTCCTGCTCCAGAACCTGAGTGTTGCGTGTGCATCGGTTTTACAGATCTCATTCTCTTGAATACAGACTGTTGGTTCCTTGCCTCTCCGGCAGATGCACTCCGACTTCAAAGGAAGCTCCCCAATTACTCGACTCTTACGACATGCTTTTGGGGAGGCAGTGGGTCTATTCTTGTTTTCCCCACAATGGGGCCCCGGAACCCACACGGGGGTCTAGGCTAATGAACATGGAGGCACATACTGGCATCATCAGTCGGTTTACACTTATGGAGCTAGTGAGGATGTGATCGATCACTCATGGATCTGTTCGGAGTGCTATGATGATAATCCTCACGTCTTATTAAAAAAAAGTACGCCTATCCAGGATTAAAAGGAACAACATGCACCTTTTATATTTGCATACTTGGCTATGTTCTTAGTGAGCTTGTTTCAGTAGCGAGGCGCACACGCATTTGAAGGTGACAGGGTTTGATTCCCGACACTGTAACTATAGCTTGGGGCCACGTTAGCGCAGTCGATAAGAGGCTCGCTTTCAAATCCAGCTTCGACTCGCTGCAGCCCACGGTCGGTGTTCGAAACTGGGCGGTTCCCGGGGTTCACCCAGCCTCTAGGAAATGGGTACAAGAGTTGACACTCTGGGTTAAATTGAGGAACGACACTGTAGCTACAGAGTTAAGTGCGGACGGCGACACAGGCGGACAATTCTTATCAGCTGTCCGTACTAGTGGCAGAGCAAAAGTTTATAACCGTGAACAATGACGCTGGTTCACATCTCCCGACTTTACCTTTGCCTTTAACTATCTTTCGATTTTTTTTTCTTCCTAGCGTGTCCTTCTGCCTTTCTACTTTTTTTTCTATGATTGCCGATCAAATCATTGTCACGTTATTAATTATCTATCTATAATATTAATACGGCTTCAAGGGTTTCCTCTCTGTTTATTTATTCTTTTTCTATGGAAAAGGGGCTCAGCGAACTTCCATACCCCCCCCCCCCCCTCTTCCCTTCCCCCAATTTAAGTAATTGTGTAGACTTCAAAGTGTCTGATTTCCAATGTTCCTGGGCCCCTGATTGATGCGCTCATAACGGTCACACCAGCCAGATATAAATAACAGAGGGTGGAACCCTTGAAGCCGTAAAAAAAAATATATATATATATGATAAATAAACAGACAATGTATTAATCGGCACTCATTGGAAGAAACAGAAAATATCTCCAGATGGAGCAACCAATTCAAGTTTTGTTTCGTTTTAATCAAGGCCGGAAGTCTCTTTTGCATCACACCGAACCAAATGTTGACCAAAACAAGTCAAATGTTGATTGAAGTCTAAGAATTATTAAACGTCTTAGTGAACTGTGGACTAAACATTAGCAGTATATCTGTACTCGCTAAAAAAAAATGGCATCTTCCAAACCTTCCCAGCGCAATTATTTCAAACAAAAACTAATATTAAAGGAGGAGGAGAAGGTTCTGAAAGAAATGCTGGGTAAATTTCAAGACCAGCTGAACAGGTTAAAAGTAAGTTTTGGAGAAGACTAATGAAATCTAATCCACGATTTTAATAACGTGTAGTTTGCTTTTCTGAACTAATAATAAACAAAACAAATTGTAAAATGCATTCTATGTTTTTTATTTAAACCTGCAATACTCTTAGGAAGAGATATATTTTATATATAGTATGAATACAATACATTACACATTGTCAGTCATTAATTTTATATTGTCTGGGATAATTAATAAAATAAAATTAATTTCGCTGTGTATCTTGTCAGGCGCAAAGAGTTACAACAGCATTTACTGAGACACAAAGAAGTAAATCCTTTGATGCCTAATTTTATTTTGATACAACTCAGTTTAATAATACATTTGATGAGATTTAGCAGAATTATGCTATATTTTACAAATAATTAATTATAGCTGCTAAGGTAAACATATTAGTTTCCCCTTTTAAACGAACTAGAATTGATCTTCTTTGCCTTTTGTCATAATTAATATCTCTCCCTTGCCCTGTGAGATACAGTTTTTCATTATTTTGAAGCCCCACCCTGGCTCTTGTCGGAGGCCCTAATATAACCCAACCTATGGGTTAAACAGGGTTTCTGGGACCTTTCCACAGGTGATCCTCATCCTCACAATAGCACTTTGTGTCACCAGGTGTTTATGGCTTGGTGTGGTTTCCTAATGGGGTGAAACATCAATCAATCCTTTTGTCATCTCTCTGAAACCAGGTTATAGCTCAGTGTCGTGATTTTCTGTATTTGTCTTGTGCTTCTCGGGTGACATGAATGGTGGATTTGCTCATCTTTTTGCATTTTTCTACTACACCAGTGGTAATAATAAAAACTAGTTTGTGATTAGCGTTATATGCAGAATAACAAATAAATACAGTGTCATAAAATACAATGTATAAACAAATATTTCAGGTAAGAGCTTTGCATGGTTCTTGCCAGTTGTCTAACGGAAGAATGGGTGGGATGGCTCAATCCACCCTTAAGAAATTATTTGGGAAACCCAGGCCCCACCCCCCATCAAATCATACTGAACCTCCAGGTTTTGTCGCCACCGCCAGAGTATTAGTTGCATTTCCCCCCCTAACCACATTATCGCTGTCGCTGTTTTTTGCCCAAGTTTCACATACACACAGTACTAGTTCTTTACAGCATTTTTATACTCGTTTCTTACTGCTGTTGATCCCCGTGTGGGTTTCGGTGCCAGATTGTAAAAAAAAAAGGGGTGGGGGAATTACTAGATCCACTGTTCCCCTAAGCATCATGTTGTAAAAGTCGACTAGTTATCAGTGTTTTGTTCAAAGTCAGGTGGCCTCTGCCTGAGAGGTGAGGAACTGAGTCTGATATACATGTAAGCAAGACCTGTAAAATGGACGAGTGTACAAACTTCATGTTCTGATTCAAATCCAGAAGTGGATGAACAACTAAAACTTTTCTCCTGAGTTTACAGTTGGTCAGCATGAAGAAGTCAACCATTTAGTGAGGGCCCAATCATCTGTGCCAGCTGATAAGACCCTAGATTGTGACTAGATGGTGATAACCCTTTGCTCAATCCATGTTTTAATGAACATATTAAAAAATGAAAAATAAAAATTACTATAGATTGTGTCCCGTAGGGTCATTTTTTTACATTTTTTCCAATGTTGAAATTTACAAAAATAAAATATAAAACCACATAATTGTGGTCTCTTCAGTTCAAGAAACATCGATGTCCATCTGGCCAGTTGAAGAAGCCCTGAGGCACAGTGAGAAAACATTGTTCTGAAAATATTTTATTTTGAGTCTTAATAAACTTACATGGTGAGTTGTGTATGTTAGCAAAGTACACACCGACCTGGCATGAGTTTGTTGAGGGTCTATGCTCGGTCGGTGGATGAGGGGCAGAAAGAGATGGCAAACTGGCTATGTGTGCAGAAGTTAGTGGGGGAAGAATTATGGACAGGTCAGACATATGAAAAGCGTTGCCTTCCAGAGACATTGAGACAGATGAGTTAGAGGCGATGACTCACCTTTTTGGAAATGGCTATTAAATGAGGAAAAGTATACAGAGACCGGTTGTGGGGCAAAGAAAGAGAATAAACCAGTAAACTCCTAGCGGATGTGATGAGCATGGAGACACTGAAATGGCTGCTAGAGCTGACACCGGTGCACTAGGATGTCAGTATGGACAAGTTATAAGAAAAGAAGAAGCTAACGAGATAAAAATTTGGTTTTTATAGGCCCACTAGGTCGGCAGCAAAGCTTGCTAGTCACGTCACATCACTACATCTACCTGACATGTAAATTAGACTGCTAGCTACATCACTACATCTACCTGACATGTAAATTAGACTGCTAGCCTCATCACTATATCTACTTGACACGTGAACTAGAATAGCCACATCACTACATCTACTTGACACGTGAACTAGACTGCTAGCCACATCACTACATCTACTTGACACGTGAACTAGACTGCTAGCCACATCACTACATCTACTTGACACGTGAACTAGACTGCTAGCCACATCACTACATCTACTTGACACGTGAGTGAACTAGACTGCTAGCCACATCACTACATCTACTTGACACGTGAACTAGAATAGCCACATCACTACATCTACTTGACACGTGAACTAGAATAGCCACATCACTACGTCTACTTGACACGTGAACTAGACTGCTAGCCTCATCACTACATCTACTTGACACGTAAAGTAGACTGGTAGCCAGATCACTACATCTACTTGACACTAAACTAGACTGCTGGCCACATCACTACATCTACTTGACACGTGAACTAGAATAGCCACGTCACTACATCTACTTGAGAGATAAACTAGACTGCTAACCACATCACTACATCTACTTGACACTAAACTAGACTGCTAGCCACATCACTGCATCTACTTGACATGTAAACTAGTTAGTTGCGTGTCCTTAACAGAACATTGCAGAACCGCCAACCCTAGCAGTTTTTGGCTGTTGTGGTTTTTCTTGGCACATTTTATTTTCAGTAGTTTGCCACTGCTTACTGAACGTTCAACTCTTGGTACTACTGTCAAGACCAATGCAAGACAAATCGTCTGTAGCTGATATTGATCCTGGCACCATGGCATTTTAGAGCGCGTTTGCAACGCCTAAGCCACAGACACCCGCACGTAAACTAGACCCCTCCAAAATACACATTCTTGTTGACATACCATGTAACTGTGCTCTTATTTACAGATTGAAGAACTGGCTCTAATGAGTTTGTTGAAGATGCAGGAGGAACAGTCAAAGACAGGTCACAAGGACACACCTGTGAAAAGCACTGTTGGCTCTCTAGATTCTATCTCTGACACAGCAAGCATAACGTCTGTGGCCCCCATTGGATTGGTAGGTTTTAGTTCTTGTAATGATAAACAGCTCAGTAAAAATGAGAGTTGTCAATTAACATGCGTTCTCAACCCAGCTGCATGATACAGAAGCCTAGACTGTGAACTAGCAATTAGAAAATCAGATTTGGGATACATAAAAATTGGTTGTTTTCAGGAAATATTTGACAGCAGTCTTCTTCTTCTTCTTCTTTTTGTGTTCCCTTTCTGATTTACACTGACAGACAAGTTCTTTTGATAAACTTGCTGTTTTTAGGAGTTCCCATTTAGTTCCACGCAATGTGACAACAGTTAAAGACAACACTCTGGATGGAGGTGGGAACATGTTTACAGCGATACAAGTGGGAGGACAAGGTAAAAATATGGATGAACAGCATTACAACAAAGACAAGAAGCAGAGTGTTGAATTTCCATTGCAGTCAGCCTTCATTGTGGAGATGGCATCTGATTCATTGATTGATTGTATTTCTAAAATAACAGCTGTTGCAGAATGAAAGCCATGGTAGTGCAGTGACTAGAAGCTTATCTGCCGACTCGATTGTCTTATGTTTAAATCTACACTAACGAAGATTTAAACAAAATTCATTCGTGGCTTTCAAGTCAACAGCCTAAACTAAGACCCGGGTATGTCATGAGGGATAAAGGCAACTGACGTCATGTTGACTACATCACCTGCCAAGTGCTTTTGGGTCTATAATAAAATACGTGTCATTTAATACCCAATAGCGGATGGTAGATTGATTTTAAAAGCAGCAAGCAAATGTTGGTCATGGCCTCAAATTCCCTGACTGTAGGCAGAATATAACACTACACTAACAATGGCTACTGTCACCTGCCCGGTATGGTCACTGCCAATAATGAAAGCACTAGCAAACTACCTTCTTCAGGATGCCAAGAATAGTCATATTTTCAGTTTAAAAAAGGGAAGGCAAAGAGTAGCGACTACGGTGTTCGGCAATTTGCGGTCTATTGGCAATTTCTGTTACCATGGAAACCGTTCAAAACTTGTTTGGGAAATGTCGGCTGGTTTCGGGATGGGTCCCAATCTCTCATGAAATTTTGCGATTCGTGTTTTCACCAGTTTAAATAGCTGAGAACGGCGGGAACGAACCCGATTAACAGCGCATGTCTACGACAGCCGGAAGTCCTATGTTTTTCTGTTACATCAGTTTTATTAAAAATAGCGATAAGTATTCAAGGTTGGCTTTAGGCTTTAACATTACTAGTACTGGTAATGCTGGTTATAATTGAATTCTCCGTCCAATTTTACATTTGTATATAAAATTTCTTTCGTATCAGTGGCTTTTTAGATTTACAATGACATTTTTCAGGCAATCGCTATTATGTGGCTGTGTCTCATTATTGTCTGCCATCTTGTCCAATGCAAACAAAGCCAAAACGATAAGTGCGCAGTTTGGTTGCGCAGAGAAAACTTCTTGTTTCACAGACGCAAGTTTTCAACAGCTGTTTTTTACATCTCATCTCTACAAAAACCTACATATCTCAGCTCAGAAATGACATACAAGCCTAAATGAGGTACCATTGGAAAGAGATTGTTTACAGCTATCCGACTGTGCTGGTTTTATTGGTGTAGAGGGCATTTTAAAAATTTGACTAAAGTATCTACAAAGAGGTAAATACCTGGATGGCTTGGCCAAGACAATAGCACTGACCTGATCTATGATTCTGGTGATCATGTGAGATGGCGAAACATGGCAGCTTAAATTTATTGACAGGGCACTTGATGAGATATGCACAGTGCACCAGTGGCGTAAAACAACTGCTGTTTACTTTTACTTTGCTATTGAAACTCATCAGAGTTTGTTTATTCAAGGAGCTTGTAAGAAACTATTGAAACTATTCAGAATATGTCCATTGGAGGTTTTTATGACAAAACTGTATTGTAAAGTTTCGTATGTGAACAGTGAATGCTAGTTGTGGAGCCACAGTAGCTTGCATTCTAGTCGTGGTTTGAATTCCCTTCGAGGCATTTGACCCAGGCTCCTTAGTTTATCAGTCTAAAAATAGACACCATGACCTTATTCTGAAATAAAGTGGGCCAGCTTTATATCAATCCCTGTCACCTGTTGAGTTTGGTCTGATATTATTACCTAGCAACATATATTCTGTATCTGCAAAGTAAAGATGCACATGATATTGACAGCATTACTTATTGCGAATCATTTAGTCTAAATATGTGAGATTAGCACAGTATACCCACAAGTCTTATGTTGTGAAGTGTTCTTTACATCTTTACTTCTGATAGCTGATCAGATAATATGATAAATCTTTCCCATACAGAACGTGTGATTAGAGTAGATTGAGACTCTATCCTCCATTGGGCATATATAGGGAAGAGGAGGACATAATTGTAGGTTGAAATATCCCCAAAACACATACAGACTATTGTATACACTTTTCAGCTTGAATTTTAATGTTTTTTTAAAACATGGATTGAAATCAACCATCATCTGTTGAAAAGTTAACTTCCTGTTATTATCCTCTTCATATCACAATTGACACATAGGGCATTCACAGGTGATGTCAGTTGCCGCTGATCTGCTGTATTTCTGCCTATAATATCCCTTATCAGTTGACACTTCTTTGCTTTTTATTTTATCCATCTCTAGGTTTCTGTTTGTAGTCCATGCCTCCCTTTTCCCATTCTTTGAAAATTAAATCTGCCGCCTAAAGTATTCTTGCCTAACTGTCATGGGGTATTCTGCAGACATGTCCAAGCCATCTCATTCTTCTTCATTTGATAACGCTTGCTAGTGAGGAACACTTTGTTTTCCTCCAGTTTTTTTTTTTTTTAACTGTAGTGTTTAAATGTGTTAATTGACTTTAGATGATCATTGTGTTAATGTGTGTAGCATATTTTAAAGTTGCAGTAACATGTCCTAAGAAAGTATCTATGCTTTCTTCCACAGATGTATGAGAACGTGTCAGAAATGAACAAGGAATTTCTGGATCTGAATGTTGATGGAAAGACCACTGAAGGTAAGACAGGATAAGCATTAGATTCTTTGCATCATATTTCATTGAATTCTCACCACTGTAAAGAACCATGCTAGTTTAGTTCATCATGATCAAGTGCCTTGCCGGCTGGCTTGGGCCATCATGCCTCGCCACAATCTACAATTGTCGGCAGCATGTATCAGTTCGTAAGCTGACACCCCTCCGTGTTGTGACAAAAAGCTTTCAAGAATCTTCTTATGTTGCCTTCCTGTGTCTCTTTTTCCACAGATTTTCCAATAGTCACAACATGATCCACTTTCATGCTAATTGTTTCTTTCTGATATTTGTGATGCTAATTAAACAGATATAAATAAATCCTTCCCCCTTACTCCAGGTAACTGGAAGAAGAGAATAAGAAGAGGCATTATATTCTCAGTGGGATCCTTAAACATTTTTATAGGATCAATGTTAATCTAACAAGATTTTAGACATACTTACGAGAAGATTGGAGTACTTATGATCATGTGTGATGAAGGTGATCCTTAAAATAAACAAAAAAAACTTTTAAAGGTGCATGGACGGAAGAAGAAAAGCTGCCGCTGCCATTATACCTATAGTGCTAGCCTGCCAAGACAGTGGTTTCAGTTCAATCCCCATAAGTGGCCTAATTTGCGACCATTACAGTACTGAGATCATCCCAGCCTCATATAGAAGGTTACCAGACAACTTCCCCAATTTTCTGACAGTCATCTGTGAAGGAGAGATGATGAGAAAGAGAAACAGCCACCTCACTTTAAATGTCAGGGCCTAGAACATGTGAGAACCTAACGCTGCTGTGGGGTGAAAGGAGAGTACTGACCTGATCCAATATTCTGGTGATAATGTGAGATAGTGAAACATGACCGCCTTCGCGTGTTGGCATGAACGTGATGATGGGACTACTTTTTCCTTTACACAAAGAAAGGGAAGTAACTTTTAAAGGTTATAGAACAATAATTTTCATCCTGGAAAAGAGGGGGGGGGGGGAGGCATCAAGCTAATTTGATATTGAGTACATTTGTATTTGTAATGATCTGTTATACTATTATTTTAAGTTTAACTCTATCTAAAGTATTTTCCAAAACTATTTATAAAACAAAAATCCAAGGACAGATTTTGTTATCATAAACACTTTGTACAGCAGATGTTAGCAAGACGGAACAGTGTTATCCATCACATTGATATTTCAGCACTAAATTACCAGTTGTGTGGTGATCGTTTCTTTTATATTATTGGATGCTTTGATTTACGTGAATGTTTTTTTTTCAGATTCTTGTTAACAGTGCTTGGTATTGTTAGTTTTGTCTTCCCATTCCTGTTTACTTCCAAAACTATGCCACAATAATCATTTACTCAATGTTGAATACACTTCTTCTTCCAACTCTAAGGCACAACTGACCACGTGTCAAACTCTGGCTTTTCTTCGTTTACCTTTTACAGTAGCCAGTGGCAGCCAACGTGCACTGGGACGCAAATTATTCCTCCCCATGACGCTTAACGGCAGAAGTGGTTGATGATGATGATGACCTTTGTAACCCCAAATATCTTGTGCTGTTGTTTATGCACGGATTATCTGCCCAACTTGCTGTGAGCGTGGAGACCACGCTAAGCAGGGTCATCACAGCCTCCTCCCCCCACCCCTTTTTTTCCCCCCTTAAAATTGACTTGCCATATAATAATGGGAAGGGGGGGAGTGGTTGAAAGCTATATTAAAGTTGCATTCAGTAGAGTATTTGCATGATTTTTTTTCTGTGTTTCTTGATCATGGCAGTTTGTAAGTGCAGTATTCAAGTTGTCACAAATACAGTTAATGCATTTTGCTGTATCTATCTATTTAGGTCAGCGATGGCAGAATGACTTTGAAGAAGAGGAAGATGATGAAGGTGGTGAAAAAGGAAATGTGGATGGGAACAGAGGAACGGTGGATGAACATTTTGAGGAATACATGGACACTTATTGGGATATGTCCTGAGTGTTGTATGTTTGTTTATCATAAACCTACCCTTATGTATTCTTTGTAAATATGCCTCTGTGAGCCTGAAAAAGTCTAAAATAAGTATGAGCCATTTGATTGTTGCTGTCAGCTTGTGAAAAGACCTATTGAATAATGTAAAGTCAAGAATTAGTTTCCATGCCATGAAGCATAATGGTGTCAGTGATTGTATTTACACTTCCAAAGGGGTAATGGGGTGGGTTCGATCTGCGGCCTCCAAACATTTACGCCAAAAAAAAAAAAAGATGCACTAGGGGCTTTCTAAAATCAGATGTGTTGGACTGAAAAGCACTGTAGTGACATAGTCACGATATCAAACTAGAATTTAAAACCGGGAATTTAATTGGGATTATTTAAAAACAAAGGAGAGATGACAGTTATATTGTGTCTAAAGGACATTTTCACCATTCGCTGCAAAGATCATTTAGAAATTAACATCAGATGCAGTAAAGCAAACCAAGTATTGAGACAGCTAGCCCCTTCCTCTTACAGCATAAGACAATCCCAGTCAGCACAGAGAAACATCTCATATAAAGCATGTTCATTCCCACTCTATGCTGCCAGTGCCAGACATGATAAATCACAACAAACCCTAAAGGACCGCTTTTAAAAATGCCTTGGATCCGTAGATTTCCTGAAAAAATCTATTAAACATTAATTGTACACAGGTCAGTAATCCATTTGAAGAAATAAAATTCATTTATTTACCCAACCACTCCTTCCCACATCGACTGTATAGATATTTAAATAAAATATGAAATAAATATGAGCTGAATGAAGCATTAAATGGAACATATTGCCCAGGACAGGACCTAAAGAAATGTATGTATCGGATGACTCTGTGAACCGTATTGCTGAGGTTTAACAAGATATTTTTATATTGACTTGACTTTCACAAAGCTGCTTGGTTTACAAGAAAACCATGTAAATGCTGTTTTCAGTAAATATATACATATTCTGACCTCCTAAACGTTTGCACAGGCACAAATACAGCCAATGGCATTAACGATACCTCTTGTAAACAGATCAGTGTAGAAGAATATGGCTTTCTCAAGAGTTCAATCCAGTATAAAAGTGTCAGTTTTGCGGCTTCTCAGGGTGACATTGTTAAAGTTTGCAGTGACCTGCTAGTCCACAGGTTGGAGGATTAGAAGCATTAGTGTGCAGGGTGGGTCATTATGAAAAAACCGTTTAAAGTAATTTCACATTCAAGCAGGAATCTACATTGAGCGAAAGTTGCTCTATCACCACAGTCTCATACTGTTTACCATTGGCTGTTTATGACATTCTTATATTAAAGGGCTTTCGGTTTCTTCTTCTGGTCATACTAGTGTCAGACATGAATCATTACTACAGCTAATGAGTGGAAAACCATTACAGAATAAATGGGTTGTCTTAGGATAGCTGCTGGGATAACAAGAGAAAATAACATTGAATGTGAAGAAATTGAAAAGAAAACTAGGATTGATACCAGTCATACAGTTAAAGAGCAACAGATAAGTCATGACATCTGAGACTTCATATCTCATGAGATTAGCGCGCCCTGGCTCGGTGCCGATCAATACCATCGACGCCTAAAAGCCACTTTAAAAAAAAAAGTTAAAGAGCAAAAAGATGATCTGACTATCTCAGAGATTACAAAGATTATGCCACTTTAAAAAAAATTTAAAAAAATATGGATGCCAAAAAATGGATAGAGAACATCAAGAACAACCTTAAAAGATGTGAAGATCAGCTTCTGCAACACATTAAAAAGAGCAGACTTAAGATCCTTACTTATGCCTCATCATTTTGTGTAGGTCTCCTGGTTATGCTGGTGTGTTGGGAAATGAGCAGGCAGATAGACTGGCTGGCTGTGCACAACTTTGCGGTGAATTGATGGATGACAAGTTCTGAGGGCCCTTTGGGAGCGAGTGACAGTGCGGAGGTGCAGATAGATCTTTACGGTCTAAGGAGAATGGCGTTGCAAAGAGTTACCACCAGGGAATGTGACCAACGCTCAAAACATAGGGAAAGGATGAGGATGATAAGGAATCAGACGGTGGTACTAAGAAATGGGACTCTTTTTTTGCTGCTGAAGATGGGGGACTGAGCACTTATGGGAGTGTCCCGAGTGCTGTGACATCGATTCTTAATTCAACATTCAACATTTTAAAGAGAAAAAAGAAGGGTGTGTGTAAATTATGTAAATGAGCGAAATGAGTATTTTTTAAAAAGATTTTCAGAAGCACAATAGTTCCCAATTCTAGAGAGGTTTAAATGCTTTTTCTGCAACCTTTTTTTAGCGTTCACCAGCTGTTAAACTTCAGCGGAAAGTTCTGGTTGTTTGTCCACTTCTGGACCTTGGTCTTGTTCCAGGACTTGTTTTTTGCATACTAGTTTTAAAGATCTAGTTTTTTGTGTGCGGGCTGTTTGCTCCATGGCATATATAATCCGACTTCGAAAGAAACGCCTTAGATTAGTTGCCTTTTAGGACATGCTCGTTAGAGGGGCAGTGGCCCTCTCAGCTCTGAATGAGACCGTGGAACTCAACACATTGAGTGTGAATGTTTGAAAATGTATTCTTGTTGTCTCTAGTCCCCGTTCTGTCTTTCAGCAACAGGTTTTGTACAGGCTTTTGGTGCAAGCCTTGATATTTGCTACTTAGATGCTGTTATTCAAGGCCTCAGATATTCCAGCTTCTTTTTGCTTGTGTGGAGGGGGCTGTGTGGTCTCGGGGCATATTGTCCGCCTCAAGTGCTAGAGGTTCCGGTTTCAATCCACAGTAAGGGCTGGGATTTTTTAAAGTGGGCTTGGACTTTAGTAATTCCTCCTGGTCTCTGGGTAGTGATATCGGACGCCTGTGTGCATTGTTGTGCAAGTAAAAAATCTTTTGGCAGTTGGAAATCAAAAAGAGTAGCCTAACAGTGCGCTGCCTAGGCAAAATTTGGAGTTGAAACTCTACCCAAAGTTTTTCCAGGATTCTTGCTGGTGCAACAGAGCCTGCGCACTGTGCTGAGCTTCTTCGGACAGATTTGAGTTCGAAGAAGAACGGAGCACTGATGGGTTACACCCATGTGCCATGGTGTTGATCCGTAGTTCAAAACCTCAAACCATAGCTTGTGTGGGAAAGCTCTAACTTTGCTTCTACTGTATCTAAATGACAGGGCTCTGTGTAGTGCACTTCTAGTGGTAGTTTTAACATTTGTACATCTGAATCATTTGTATCTGTTATCTCTTGGTGTAATTTAGCACTGCTTGAAAACAGACTCAGTAGCCAGATTAATCATTACATTTTAAAATGTTATTATATTTGAGCTTGAGCTTATTTAATTGTTGATAATAAATTGTTTTGAATCTTGGTGCCTGTTAATCATTTTGAACGTAATGCAGTGTAACATGTTTTTAACCTACCTCGATAGTAAAATAGTTGTGAAATGTTAATCTAATGAGACTGATGTGAAGTCTGGTTTGTTTGTTGTGGACAGAAGTATGTGTAGAATGAGGATGTGGTTAATAATCTAGTTGCAGCGGGAGTCTGACACTCGCCTGCTGACCCTAAGGTCTTTGGTTTGAATCTATATCAAGTCACTTTTTTGTTCCAGATAACTGGCTCTGGTATAATCCAGCATAAAATGGTTACTGGGTAATGTCTCGGGAAGTAAGGGCAGCTAGCGTGATATTGACCACATCACTCACTGAGCACCAGTAGTTTTACAAAATATGAGTTTAGCTCCCTTGTTGAGTTCTGGAGCTCCATTGTGGGGAAAACGAGTAGAACCGCTGCCTCTCCAACAGGCATGTCGTAAGAGTTGACTTATTGGGGGGGGGGGGGGGGGGGGGGGTTCCTTCAGTTGGAGTGCATCTGCCTGATAGGCAAGGAATCAACAGTCTGCATTAAATAAGTCAGATCTGTAAAACAGATGTGCACTCAACACTGAGGTTCTGGAACAAGTCTAAAGTCTAGAGGTGGATGAACAGCTAGAACCTTCCACTGGAGTTTACACCCAGTGAATGCAAAGAATAAGAAGAAAATAAGTTTAGCATCATATACCAGATGACTCAGATCAGGAGCATACTATGGATTTTCTTTCCAGGACATTCAGATTTGCGAAATAACGAGCAGGCTGTTAGATAAGCTGCTGCCGTTCATCTGTGCAATGAGCTTCTTCATGATAAAGCAGATGTTGGGAAGGCTGTCTGGGATCCGTTGTACAGTGCAATAGAGTTTTATTGTAATGTAGCTTACTGCACAGATGTGCAGCAGCAGCTACTTAATGATAAAGCGGACATAGGAAAGGCTCTCTGCGATCAGATGGACAATGCAATAGAGCAGATAAATATTCCATTCATTGAAAAACTGGGGGGGGAGGGGGGGGGAATGGTTAGAGGTTCTGGAAGACAATCAACACTGAGGGGAAAGCAGGTGAACTTTTAACCAGGTTGCGACTGGTACTATTAGCATGTTGACTCAATCTACTTCAAGTCACAAACCAAGAAACTTTAGACAGTATGATAACCAAGAAAAGATGGAAATGGCTTGGCCACGTTATGAGAATGAATCCTGATATACCTGCCAAAACAGCTCTCACATGGACACCAGAGGGAAAGAGAAAACAGGGGCGCCCAAAAACCACATGAAGGCGAACGATGGAAAGTGACCTGAGTGCGGCATCTTTGACATGGAAAACTGCACTGAAGATTGCACAGGACAGGAAAGCATAGAAAGTCCTCTCTGAAGCCTCATGTACTACTAGGGGTAACGAGAACTGATGATGATAAGTGGTCATTTGTTCAAATCCCTCATCAACCTGGGCTTTCAGGTTGACGTAGCTGAAGAATGAGTTCCAAGAAATATTGAGGGAAGCAAAGATGGCCATCAAGTGCTGATTGGTCTATAAAATGTGGGGTTAGCACTGTTATCCTGAGGTATCTGTGTCATTGTTATTGTGACCGGGTCAAGCACAACAGGCAGTGTCTGACACAGAAGTCACGTCGTT